TCCAATGAGTGGTTCTTTAGATATCAGTGGAACAGTCATAGAACAGCTAAAAATTAGCTAATTATCATGCAAATTAGGTAATTAACGAGCATGGATTTTTACCAAAACCTAATCAAATCTGCGCATTGGCCCAGAGCATCTATGCACCAAGTTTCATCAAAAACCGATGTATGGTTCTTGAGATAGCAGTGGAACAGTCGGACACACATACACACATACACACACACATACACACATACACACATACACACATACACACATACACACATACACACATACACACATACACACATACACACATACAGACACACTAACTGCAAAGACTCCCATTTTGTGCTTCGCACATGGGAGTCAAAAAGAAAAGAAAAAAAGACATATTTCAACTTTTGAAAAGGAGTAACAAAACAGTTTTGCACAGTTCAAGATCTGTAGTGTTTAGTTTAGTGTTTCGATTTTCGGAGCAATTTAAAAGAGGACGCTGTTCCCTTGTAGGAGATTACTATAAAATTAAAAGTCAGTGGCCGCACCGTGTTCAATATGGGATCCATAGCGTCGTACACAACCTGTGTTGATTTACATAAAATTCAAATACACGGTAAGAGACGACTATCGCCCTTTAACAATACTTCAAATAAACAATTTAAAGCGTGGCGGTCGCCGTACTGCGCATGTGTGACATTTGTGATGATAAACATTGATTTTCCCACAATCCCATGTGCTCTTCAAATGGAAATCACAAGTACGAGGTTTGACCTGGGTGCAACTTGTACTGAATACTACTGGTGACATCTTCGATACCGTCAAATCACCTAAAAATGACCTAATTTAAGCTTGAAAATGTCTCAGTTTGTACTCAAAGTCACCATTTATGTTTATTTGAGACCCATATATCTCGCGCATGCGTGGCGCGACGACTATCGCGCTTTAAAGCACCAATCATATTGTCTTGTCATGCTTGATGTGGGTCACGATATTGGATGTAAATCCTCTGTGGATTGTGATTTGATGACACATACATGTAGAAGACCCCATACAAAACTAATTGCTCCCGCTAAAACATCACCACAAGCAGTAATGCTGTTTGTCTTAATGATGATGAATTACTGTAAAAATGTTAATTAATTAATATTAATTTGCTTGGAATTAATTTTCGCTATTTTTGCTGAAGGAATGATTCAGTGAAAGTAAAATCCAGTGAATACTGTAAAACGTGTCTTTTAGCTAGCATGTTAGTTTAGCTAATTTAGCTAATCTGTAGTTTTAATTTAATTCAAGATGTAGTTAATTTAAAATGAGATTGTTGACACTTTAGCTAAATTATGATTCAGTTAATTCATGCATAGTCAAATTCCCTATTAAAATATCATGTATAGCTATTTAAACATGTTTTACAGTATACATGTTTTCCTATATTTTACATTCAACTCATCAAAAATTTGTTTAAATAAATTCCATACAAAACACCTTGTCAGCGAAAATTAATTTCAGCTAAAATAAAGTATGTTACAGTATATATCACATGTGACCCACATCAAACCCAACTCTGTGTGCCAACCAGGATGCACTATCTAATCTGTACATTCCTCTTTTTTCAATGTGCCATCGTTTTGTTCTTGCAGTGCCATGTCTAGCTGGTAATTTATCATTTCAACAAATTTTCCAGCCACCACATAAATTCAAATGTTCGACAAATGTTACAGCTCACATGTTAGGTCTCATTATATATTGTGGAATTCAAAAAGACAAACGTAAACGCGTGACGTCATACATCGATTCAAAATGGCGTCTTCCCTGGACATAAAGATTGAATGCAGAATTCAGATATCTTTATGATATTTGTATTATTTTACGTGCATACGTACAAAGAAATATAATACAAACAACTGAACAAATACTGACTCATCAATTATAATTTTTTTTAAATCATAATAATATGGTGTTACTCTAAATCATCGAGCATCATTGGAATCATTTGATTCGTCAACGACAGCGTGACCCCGTGATTCTGTCACTTTATATTCAACTGTTCTGTATGTACATAGTAGATGCACTGCTCCTATACACTAATGAGGATCTAAGAATGAGATAAGACGAAATCATACCTGGCGAGTTGCACTCGAGATTGACAGAAATCGAAAACAAACTACTAGTAATTCACAGTTACGAGCATAACGTTAGTAGCAGATTCGGATTCGGCTTCATATTAGATTCAGATTTGACTAACAGATTTAGGGAATAATCAACAAACAAACATATGCAATTCGATTATTATACATATAATTGATTCATTTCATTTCACCATT